ATATAAGACAAAATAAACTGTATTCCTTGTAGTCAAACATCGGGATCATCACGATTTTCCCCAACATAAAAATGTTCACTTGTTTTTGTTTTGTCTTTTTGTTTGTTTCTATTTCTTTTTCATATTTTATACACTGCCTTAGTTTGTTTGTTTTAGCAAAAAAAAAAAAAAAAAAAAAAAAAAAAAAAAGACTTAAAAAAAAAAAAAAGAAAAGTGAAATTACGTTCAGAATATTTTAAAGTGCTTGCCGAAACATTTTGAACATGTTCATTGTTTTTCTTTAAGTTTTATTGACGGGAGCCAAGAAAAACAGGGATGAATATGTCAAAGCATCAAGTGGAAAATGATGACCAAATAAATGTAAGAGAACAGATGAAATAATATTTTAAATGAATCTGACTTACTTTGAAATGTAGCTTTTAACTTAGACGAAGTTTTCACAAAATATTTGGCTATTTGTTTTACATTGTTTCATTTTCTTTTTCCATCTGGAATTTCTATCATTGGTCTAAGAAAATAAATGGTGAAAACAACACTTGAAAAATATTACGGATATACAAATTGTTATTACATTCTAACTAATAATAATTCTTGCTGGCTATGATTTTAAGTTTCGGTTCTGAAATAGAGGCGCCGTTTTTTATTTTGATTTTTTAACCAGTGTATGTTAAAAGTATCGGCATCAAAAAACTTACTATAGAATATGCGATCTCCGAATGGGTTCGAACCTGTGTCTGAATTTGTAGGAGAAACCGACAGTTCACCTGGCGTGTTTTACACTGCTTGACGATAGAATGTCACAACTTAACATAATTCTTGTTACACTTTTAAGGAATGCATATACCATCGTCCAGTGTTTGAAAAAAAGCAATATAGGCTTAGTTTCATATACAGAACGAAAACAAAGTAATTTCTAAATAATTAATGGATTTATATTTAATCAGGTATTTCAGTAGTTCAAACATTATTTGAAATAGACCACCCATTTTTATTTTAAACCGTCTATATTACTGTGCACTACAGGAATATATATATATATATATATATATATATATATATATATATATATATATATATATATATATATATATATATATATATATATATATATAATTTATTTTGTTTAGACGTTATTTTTTGATAGATATGCATATTCGATTAGAAGCTCTGTATTTTTAAACAGTATTTGTTATCCATCTACATCTACCGGCTTGAATATTTAAGCAATCCTGTCAGAAAGTAGATGCAGTTGGACAAATATATATATATATATATATATATATATATATATATATATATATATATATATATATATATATATATATATATATATATATATATATATATATATATATATATATATATATATATATGTATATTTATGTATTTAGGGCATCAATTTTTTTTTTTTCAGATAATAAATTATATAAAAACTGTTGAAAGTAGCTAAATGTATAGCCGAAAGCGCACGGATAAAAAGAACATTCGGATAGTTTTTTTATATATTTTATCATCTCAAAAGAATAAATTATTAGATCACATGAGAAATTGTATAAAAAAAAACTAAATGAAAGAACCTTGTCTGTCGTATTCAATGAAATGTACATGAAAGAATTATTGCTGCCTAAATACACAAAATATATATATATATATATATATATATATATATATATATATATATATATATATATATATATAATTTTATGATGGACTCTCCTATCCTGAACGAGAAATGTGGGTCAGCAGTGGATGATGCCTTTCGTTTTACACTTATGCATTCTAGCAGAGGCTATTGGGGAGAAAATCAGGTAAGGGGAAAATATATTTCATTTGTGCTTTCTTAAGTGCGATACTTGACCAGACTTGCTGCAGGCGATAAAGATACACTGAGAGATGAAATTTGTTAAAGCAGGATTTTCAGGACGTCTCTACTTCAGAGTTTGAGAAAGCTAATCACTGTGATTCAGACTGCTGTCTGCAAAACTGTTTAACTTAATGAAAACATTTGTCTTTGCACAATATATTTTATATATATATATATTATATATATATTATAAACAAATATACACCACCTATATATATATATATATATATATATATATATATATATATATATATATATATAATTGATTTAAAATTTGTTTTTTTTTTTGCTACACAGTTCTAACCATGTTTCATAAATGGAAGCTAAAAGCCCCGAACTTAATTTTGTAATTCAATTAACGTCATTAGTTCTATTTCATCTTCAAGCGAATTTTGGAGTAACTTTTAAAATTACTGGGTTTTAAAGACACAGCTAAAATCATAATTCATGTTTCCAAGGTTACAGATGAATCCACTTCACTAGGCAAGGGGTATCTGGGTGTTCATTATGTCTATATTTTAATGTATAAGCTACGTTTTGGTAGTGGGTAGGGATGTATTTTTCAATGAAATCTAATATCCGTTAAAAGCGTGTCGTCTGGATTTTTTTTTAAGTTTATAGTTAACGGCAAAAATTCTTACGGCATTTTTTCCCATTTGTATATTTAAAGATTTTTGGGGGGTGTTTAGGTTAGAATACTTTTTATTTAACTACGATTTGAAATATTTTTACTTTTAATTTTTAATATACTATATTTCTTTTAAGAACAATTAAATGTAATTAGAATCCCTTACAGTATGTAGAATTATTATCACACGTATATAAATTATTAGGTTACAAAATTTTTTTTTATTTAAATATTATTTAAATAATATTTATGACAATGACGGCAAAATTAGCTACTTAATTTCACTGATTTAGTAGACTTTTATTTTTTATATAAACCTAGTAATATATTGTTTCTCATGTAAGTACAAAGGACATGGGTCATTCAAAAGCTTACATCTCCGAGCGATTTTACATATTAATTTCATTTTACTGTATATGTTTTATTGGGTTCTTTTAATTGCGTGTAGTACTAAGAGGGAGGTCTTTAGGTATGGAAACGTTTTGTAGCTAATTTTACCGTCATTGTCATAAATATTACTTAAATAATCCCTTTTTTTTCTGTTTAAGTAGTGAAATATACATTAACCTTCCTAGATTGTGAAATCCAACTAAATAAAATGCTAATAAAAACAATGCATCAAATTTGGTGCAACATGCTTATTTCTAGATAGCCACTAAAAATAACATTTATAATAATAATAATAAATGTCAGACAGAAAAATGCACACACACACCCCCCCCATATATATATATATATATATATATATATATATATATATATATATATATATATATATATATATATATATATATATATATATAAAATATATAATATATATATATATATCAAATACTACTGTCCAAAACACACATTCCATTTTCCATTTCAAGCACCCAATAAAACTCAAAATGACAGAAATCTCTATCTTAAAAACAAAAAGAGGCCGTTTGACCAACACAAGGCCTGACCAAAATTAACGATAAAAGCAAATGAAAACTACAGATAAATTACACTTTCTTCAGAAACAGTCATCCCTGCTGTAGTTCACTGCTAACAAGCAGGGATCTTTTTTCTCCTGACGATGGACAGGCTGACCGAAATAAGTTGAGGAACCTAACTGAAATAATTAAAAAAATATTAATACACAACCCAGTGTGTGTCTGAAAATTTTAATTTTTCAATAATTTTTATTGTTCAAAACACACAAACACACACACGCATATATATATATATATATATATATATATATATATATATATATATAAATTGTGTATATTTAGGCAGCAATTTTTCATTGATGCATGTTTCATTGAATAATATAGACAGGTTTTGTAAGTAAGTTCCTTGCATATTGTCTGATAAGCTTAATAACATTATCACTGAAAGACGAAAGGAAATCACCATATTGATAAATGTTTAAATCCAATCTAAGTTTTCGGCTTACATAAGCCATTATCAAAGATGACAATTACTTTTTAATATACCTACGAATACACGGACGAAACAATAACGATAGTCTGTAAATTCATTTCTTTTTTGCCTTGAAAAAGTCATATACATTTATATATATATATATATATATATATATATATATATATATATATATATATATATATATATATGAATGAGAAAGAACAGTCAAAGTAAAAATTCACTGTTCGTAGCATTTACTTAAAAAAAAAAGTGCTCAGTAGTTTTTTTAGGAAAATTTAAATAACAAATCGTTTACACTTTAAAATAACTTTCATCTTCCTTTTTCTATTCCATTCTCCCTCCCCCCACTCTTATACATTCTTTGTGTCTTTCTGTCTCTCTTCTGCCTTTACTTTTTCTTAAATCTCTCTCACTCTTTTTATCCCTATCATTCCTTCGCTCTTGTTTCTCACCTTTTTCTATTACTCTATTTGTTAATCGTCCTATCGCACTGCAATGTCAATTTCTCTCTCCCCTATATAATATTTCTCACTCACTTTCTTTTCTGTCACTCACTTTTCTCCCGTCCTGGGTATGACGATAAACTACATCCGCGTCCTGGGTAAAACGACAAACTACGTCCAAAATCATCGCCTGTGATCAGGAGGTTTTGAGGAGCGTGGGGCCACATCTTAATTGCTGGTGTTCCCAGGTCCACCCTGACCTGGGGTGGTAGCACCTGTTAGGGGTTCTCAGCTATGACAAATAGTTAACCACCAAAATTAGGGTCAAAACACTATGAAAATGTAAAAATAGATTTAATACCAGAAATACTTTGTAAAAAATTATTATCAGCAGTAAATTTTTTAAGAAAAATTCTTATCAGCAGTACATTTTTGAAAACAATATTACCAGCTATACATTTTTGAAGGAAAAAAATAATATTACTAGCAATAAAATTTGTTGGCATTAAATAACCCATTATGGTTGATATACCGTAAAACAAACGAAACAAACCAATATGCCTCACCTTTCTGTCGCCCTTTTTTGTTTTCAGTTACTCTCTGTCCTCTCTCATTTCCCGTGACTCTTAGCACCCCTCTGATTTCAGTAATGTTTTCTTTTTGCTCTTCTCTTTCTATCTTTTTATCTCACTTCTCTTTTATTATTCTTTTACTTTTTATTTTTCTCTCTCTCACACACAACTCTCTCTCACTCTCTCACTTTATTGTCTCTTACCTTTTTCCTTACTATTCTCTCTCAATTTTTCGTTCTTCTAACTTTTAATTTCTCTCTTTCTCTCTCTCTTTTTCTCTCTCTTTTTCTCTCTCTTTTTCTTTTGCTACTTACCTTTAAACGCTTACTATTTATCCCCGTTCTCCTTCTCTCTAATATGTATTTTCCTTTTCCTATTTTACTTCTCTCTTTCTCATTCTTTCTCTCTTCTTTCAATTCTATCTTTCTCTAGCCTATCTCTCTTTTTCTCTATCCTGTCTCACACACATTTTCTCTCCTAATCACTTTCTTGTTTGAAAATCTAGATATATTAATTATTCATAGAAAAATATGAGAGAACGTAACAGCATTTCTGCAGTTTTAAGAACTTCTACAAAAGTAGTACGCAGTGCTAAATAATATATAATCATCTGCCAAACATGGGAAAGTCAACAAGTTTCGCCTGCTACCAAGTAAAGTCTAAGAAGTTAGAAAAAGTACAAGCAAGAAGTTGTTCACAATTGGACGGAATTGAAAGAAAGGATGAAAGATGTTTTTGCTGGCTAAAGGTTTCCATAGTGACGTAATGGAAGCAAAGCTTTGGCGGGAAACTTCAATGTGTTGTTCGCCTATGAAGGAAACCTAATATTCATGTCGCTAATGTCTTTCGAACAATGCAAAGACGACGCTGGCGTTATAATCTATGGGTATTTATATCGGTAATTTAATTGTTTCCCTCGTGAAGATAAATGCGACGAATGTAAAAGAAACGAAGGAATGCGCAGTGGGGGAAGAAGAACGAATAAAAAGGGCAGAAGAAGACAAAGTTGATCTCCAAAGAAAACGGAACGTTTACAGAGAAGAACCGAATGGGAATGGCGAATGCCAAATACATTTCTAAACTGATCATTGGTGGCAATGATTAAAGTGGAAAAACGTCTCCATGGAAACCGTTTCCAATATAAACAGACGCTGTTCTTCAGATGATTTCTTATAAATATTTCCTAGCCTTCAGCCTTTGCTGAATTTCTTTCTTTTATTCGGCAGTCTTCTGTAGGTTTTTATACGAGTGCTTAAAATAAACTTTCAAAGCAAAGTAAAATAAATGATAAGGTTTTAAATGTTTCTAAGATACAACCAGATAGATGGTGATTACTGAAAGGAGAATCGATAGGTTATGCATGATTGAATTGAGTATAATAACATTTAATATCATTTCGTATAGGAAGTAAGATAATCGAACTCAGAATAGGTTGTGTTAGGAACAATTTTCGTCCAACACCGAAAGCTGCTCTAAAACTAAAATATTAACCAAAGAACTCGTGCCATCTACTTAAATAGCTTCATCCAATCGAGACATTTATGCGCATGTCATGCATAGGTTTTTTCTTCCGTTTCTTCTTCTTTTTCTTCTGTTTCTTTTTATTCTCCATTTGTTTTTTCATCGGATTTTGTTTCTTGTTTTATTTTTTCTTCTTTTGTATCTTAATCTTTTTTCTTTTCTTTCTTCTTCTTTTGTTTTTTCTTCTTCTTCTTCTTTTCTTTCTTCTTTTCTTTCTTCTTTTTCTTCTGTTTCATTTCTTTCTTCTTCTTCTTCTTCTTTTCTTTCTTCTTTTCTTTCTTCTTTTCTTTCTTCTTTTCTTCTGTTTCATTTCTTTCTTCTTATTATTGTTCTTTTGTTTATTCTTTTCTTTATTCTTTGTGTTCTTTTTCTGTTTCCCCTTCTTTTATTTCTTCTTCTTCTGTTTCCTCTTCTTCTTTTATTTCTTCTTCTTTTGTTTCTTCTTCTTCTTCTTCTTCTTCTTCTTCTTCTTCTTCTTCTACTTTTCTTTCTTTTGTCTCTTCTTGTTCACTGCATATGATATTGGTTGGTGGCAAAAGCTCAGGTCACCATTCGTGATTTAATAAAATAAACCAAACTTTTTAGGGTTCTAATCGTTCAGCAATGTCAAAACATTCAATCGTTTTTTTTTTTCATATCAATAATTAAAAGTGGTTTTAGCCTAACGAATCCTTTTGATGGAATAAAAACAATCCATCATGTCCCACAATCCATCATTTCCCACAATCCATCATTTCCCATATAAACTGTCGCTACAAAATCCCAAGCCATAGATTTTTTTTCAGATAACAAAAACTAGATCATTTGATAACTTCCATCAACAACTAACATAGGTAACACATGGAATTAGAAGGGCGATAATAATATAATAAAGATGTCGACTTTCTACACTACCTTAAACAAAAGGTCAGAAAGGAAATTCCCATCAATATTTGGTAAAGCAATATCAACTTATGAAACTGAAAAATGCAATTTGCTGAGACAAAAAGAAAAACAGTTTTTATAAAAAGACGTTTTAAATTCCAATCGAGACTAACACTAACACTAAGGTTAATGAGTATCGCATATTTCTTGTATGGAAACGAATAATTTTGATGTAAGATTTCGGTTACACATGCCTTTAATACTCATGTCAATATTTATTTATATTCTGATATTTCGTAAGTACAATAGAAAAAAAAATAACGGTTAATATGCATCTTTTTTGAAATTCTCTGCGAAACGTTCAAAATGTCTACGCTATTTTCTTATTAGCGAACTTCAGTAAGGTATGAACGCAGTAAGTGTCTTAATGTAAAATATCTCACAATAGCACAAACCATCCGTATATTTTCGTACAAAAGGGCTATTTTAATAGACAATGAAATGAAGGAAATGGGAGAATAAAACAAAATGATTATAACAGCAATCAACTAAATGAATAGGAAATTAACTGCTATTCTAACAATTTCCATTAAAGAGATTCTAATTGTGTTTTCGGGTTATTTCTGTTAACATTCTTACACTTTCAACATAGAGAAAGTTTTTGAATAAGAAATAAAACGCCATCTCCAACGAGCATAGCTGAATATTTTCTTTTTACTTCAATGATAGTTATATTCTTAATTCTACAATTTGGTGAACTGAGTTCAAATTATGGTCATGGCACTAATGCCTTTTTGGAAAATATCAACCCCTCTCTTTTAATAATCTGAATAGGGATTACTGACTGCTGCGGATACTATAGAATATAATAGAATCTGTCTCATTTTATTTGGAGAGGACATGGGCGCCGTCATTGCTTCAGGAAATACTGTGAAGGACATGGAATAACACCATGAAGTTTTAATATGCTACTAGATTATTAGAATTTTGAATTTAATTTAAAGACAATTTGATGTACGTAGGTCCTATTTTCCTGACAAACAATTATTTTTATTTCATGGGTAACTTTCCTTGATTTCGCAGTTAATTTCGAGTATTCCCAAATTTATTATCAAGTTATGAAAATTGTTTTCGTACAAAAAAATTCGTTGCAAAATCACGAAAAAAGTCGCCGAAAACAATCGCAGTAATGAAGATTTGGGAATCCAAAATTTCAGGATTGGGGGTCTGGATCCGGGCCAGAATGCTTTTAATTTACTCACAATAGAAGGGAATTTCCTTTCTGACCTTTTGTTTAAGGTAGTGTAGAAAGTCAACATCTTGATTATATCATTATTGCCCTTCTAATCACAAGGAAATTGTAAACAATAATAATAATAATAATAATAATAATAATAATAATAATAATAATAATAATTACAGACGATCCTTCAAAATCCATTCGGTTATGATTTATTCCATGAATATTTAAAAAAAAATCCCTCTCTTCAGATTTAATTTTTTTTAATAAATCAAAAAATTTATAAACTTTATTAAAAAAAACCAAAAAACTTCGGTCTGAAGAGATGAATATTTTATATATATATATTCATGAAATAAATAATAACCAAATGGATTTTTAAGAATTTTCTGTAATTATTATTATTATTATTATTATTGTTTACAATTTCCTATTTTTCTGGTTATTTTCCAAATCTTCTCTAAAATGTTAAATATAGAGAAAGCAGATCAGGCCGGCTTAAAATATCTTCTCACTTTCATACATTTTAAGACCACTCGATTATCCTGAAATGTTTCCACATCTTTTTCTAGCAAATATTTTCATACAAATATATGATAACATATTTGCTTGGTGTCTGCACATCTAAATTAGACCCCCTCCTAGTTAGTCTCGTCTTTATTATGAATCGGTTTTTCTCTTTTCTTATTTCTTCGAAGTAGGATAATCATAGAAATCATCTAATAATGGAACTGGAGATGTCAATTGAACTTCGGACAGTGATTGTTTCTTTTGGCTTTCTAACAAAAATGATTAAATAGAAACAGTCCAATAGGAGTTGACTTCTGCCTAAGTGTATATCACTTTCAATTTTATGGTTTCTTTGAAGGTTCGCCCTTCACCCAGTAAAATAAAAGACAAACTTTGATTTTAGTGCATCTCAAAGGGTGCGGCCATATTTGATCTCACAGACCAAGTAGTATTCTTTATTTTATAACTTCTGGCGATTTCTCTGACTCGTTAAAGAGATGCAATGTTTTTGTATAGTTGGCCATAAAACTTTTGGATAATCATCATCATTGTTTGTCGACCAGATTCGGAATCATCGAGCCAATACGAACGATCCTTAGCTGTAGAGTATGTGATACGCCATGGCTACACCAGTCAGTTATGTGCCATATGTGAAACACGCTTAGGCGATCATGTATCTTTCGATGCATGAATGACGAGGGAGATTTTTCCCGCAGTAGGTTGCCATTTCTTTCTGCGGTAGGCCAGTTGCCATCCAAGGCTATAGAACTCGGTCTGTCCTGCAATTTACCCATAACTGGGGGAGAAGAACTCGATTCATACCTTTCCCAAGGGTATTAGCACGTAAGTGAATGTAATGGCCTTGGGAAAGGCCATTATTTCACTTACATTTAGGGGTACATACAGTTTTTGAATTCAGAATTACTTCCTCTTAGACCGGTTGCCACAAAAGACTATTGAACCCAGTGTCCTGCTATTTACCCGAGGTTGAATACATGCGGTTTTGAGCGAGACAGTCATCTGTATAATATTCTAAAAAGATTATTGTTTAATTCTATTTCAATTTTCGAAGAGTTAAATGAAATGCAACAACATTAATACATACGGATATATCTCATACACATAAAAGCGATCTTTCAATGTAGTTTCATACGCTCCTAATGTCATCTTACATAAAAAACAGAACGAATTTCTTAAGCTAGCCAATATTTTCTAGTGTGTCTTTTAATCTTTACAGAAAACAGTCTTAAAAGTTCTTGAAAAAACAACTTTAATACTTTTGTTACTTAATTATTAAAAAAAATGAATTTGAGAGTGGAATTAACAGGAGATAACTGATAACTGACATCCATTAGACATGGCACGTGGAACTAGAACAGTCTACTGCAGTGAGTGAAATAAAGGGTTCAGTTCGACATTTCAACCACCTGAAAAAGGCCGAAGCGTACAACGGCCGAAACATTGTGATAAATATGGCGACAAAGATGCGGACGTTAGTCCGAATAATGGAAATAGTAAAAAAAAAATGAATGCTTAAATATTTTATCATATACGAACCTACTTCAGTTTATAGCTAAGAAGGTTTACCGAAATGCTCATGATTCTATAAATCTGGATAAGTATTCATTCGTGTGTTGTAAGCAAACCTGATAAAGGCGATCCCTCTCCATTTAAAATAACAGTCGGTGTCCTATATCTTTAATGCTAGCCTTCATCATCAACACGCGACCGTTGATTTCCATCTGGGGAAATCCGATCGCTCTGCCCATTGGCTTCAATATAGGATACCTTCTACCCAGGGATTCCGTGTTATCACCACACAGGCTGCATCCATAACTATGGATCCCTGTCTACCGGTTCGTGCTAGATGGCTGTTGATGATATAAAGAAGTTCATCCGACATTTGACATGTTTTGATATTAATCCTGCTGAGTTTCACAATTATCCCTCACTAGCAAAGTCTGGTTAGAAAGCCAGTTTAGTAGCCGATGACACGATTATGCGGCAGTTGTACAGGGTTTAATTGTACAAGTATGACTCATAGTGTGTCTTGTAACCGGGAACAAAAGAAACGGAAGCAGCATTTCAGCCATTGTACAAACAGGAAGTACCGTGTCGGCCATATTGTGTATACGTGAAAAAAAATACTGGAGTATTGCTTCTGCAGACATGAGTTACCAAACTACATTGCATTGTTGTTGTTATTACAGAGCCGCTTGCCAATTTATAACGTAGTGACTTGACAAAATATTAATCATATATATATATATATATATATATATATATATATATATATATATATTTAGAACTTCATAAAAAATTAGAATATTATTTTAGACTTTCTAATTAACGTAAAGATCATTTCGGCTTTGTGCCCAATTACATTTGATTTTGCAGGTGGTTTTCAAGATATAGATCTATTATTCAACATCTGTATGACTTGTATTGATGATGCTCGTTATGAAAATAGAAAATAGGTAAAACAAATATTCTTTTGAGTTAATAGTATAATGTTCATTTTGTATTTCTAAAATCTAAGATCGCTTTAGAACATGGATGTATATTTATGTTAGTGATAATTAAAAATTAGGTTTAACTTTCTTAAATATCTCCGCGCACACACAAGCATGAAATATATGGGAGAATGCCAACTTTACAGACCGCTATCCACTTATTAGTTACTAAGACCGCATATGCTTGGATGGAATCTGACATAACATTGGCTAACAACCAAATATGGTCATTCTATTTGAGCCATACAGTTCGACTACAGAGACTCGCAGAGTTTACATAAATGCCAATTTGCCAATTGACGGAATTATTTATCATTTCTACTAAATATTGTTGTATATATATATATATATATATATATATATATATATATATATATAGTATGAGAAATTAGG